AGTATCCTAGCCCAGGAGTGTGGGTTACTCTCTGTATCACCACAGAGAGTGTTAAAGGGGTCAAAGCTCCCAAGTGCAGATATGCCTGCCGGCTAACTCTGCTAGAGCACTTGTAAGTAGAGTGGTTAGCCCAGCTATTATTCCTTTGTCACCTTAGAGTAGGGAACCCCACAGCAGAGAGTCAATGGGGAGGAGAAGGGTTTTGCCTCCAATTAAGTTGCTATATATTTTGTTAGCCAGGCCATCTCCACAACGAGTGGGGTAGGAAAGGAACACAAAAGGAGACAGAGGGCCAGATTCTAAACTCACTCATCACAGTGTGAAGCACGATCCTCTCCCTTGACCTCCTGCAAACACTCACCCACGTGCTTCAAATCCTACACTTGAATACTTGGTACTAAATATTAAGGGTGTTCCAGATCAGGACTAAGAACTGGTGAGAGAGGGATCAGAAGCTGGTCCGTAGCCTCCAAGCACCTGGAGTTTCATGAGCTCTTCCCACTACAGCAACTGCACAACTCCTTGCCACCTACAGAAAAATGATTTCCTCGAGGCGGCTTTGCCCTGCAAGGCTGACCCATCAATCACGACTATCTACAGCTCACATGGCACAGAAGGTCAAGGCAATTTTTTTCTGGACCAGAACACAGGTGTATAAAGGAATGACAAAAATAGACGTTACATTTTCTTTGTTCAAAAATCTATAACAAACAAACAACTAAAAAGAATCTCTTAGGATAATAAAAAATAAATGAATGATTGTACCCCTAACTTTTAGTTTTAAACAGATTTTACATGTATGCTGGTCATTCTGTGTATAAACATATGTGTGATAATTATACTATAGACGCAGGTACAGAATGGATATATAATTGGTAATTGGCTTTCTGTATGGTCCCTTTGACTAATATTAATAGAAAGTGCATGACGTTTGTAAAAGTGCCTATTTTTGCATAACAGCCATTTAATATCACGTCCACTACATTGTGTGACTTCTTTAACACCTTCTTCCTGCATATAATTCAACCTGCATCTAACTCTTTTTATAACTTGTTTCCCCACCCACCACAAAAATTCAATAAGCCTTTAACTTCTCTTGCTTGGCAAATACGCCATACTTGTTAACCCACAATGAAGTCTGAAATTAAAAACATATGGCTTGATGCTGCTCAGCCTTTTGCACAAGTCGTTGCATTGACTTCAATGGGGTTGCTTGCATCTGTTTACTCACGTGAGGAAAGGTTTGCCTGATCAATCAAGCCCTTGCCTAGAACATCAAAAGTTACCTGCGTTTTGTTTTTAAAACTGTGAAAATATGCAAGGAAAACAATTAGTAAACAGAGATATACAGATCCATGCAGTAGTATCCATCTCTGCCTTAGAAATATACATGTGAAACGATATAGGCTTTTCACACTTCAATCCATAATATACAAATCAAAATTATATAACCTCAAGCTACGTTTAAGATTCTAAAGTAAGCTGCCTAATTTCACTTGCTGTATATATTATTATCCAATTTCTTTAATTATTCCTTCAGTTGAGATCCATTTACATTAATTCCTGAGATTAGGAAGAAATGGTTTTACACATTCATTGATTCTGACCAGGAACAAAACCGTTGCCAAGGAGGCATGGTAACTTTCCTCCCTCTCACAATGACAGAATTTCAGCATTGTTTTGCAATGTAAAGCCAAGTTCAGAAATCTTAGTTTTGTTTCTACTCCATGTAAGCAACATGGAAAAAGCACCTACTATTGGTACCACCTCTTGTCCTAATTCTTTACAAACACACACCTTATAAAAACAGTGCTGCTTTGCAGTGAAAGATTGTAATTCATGCCTTAGAAATATGCATTTTAAGCAGTTTACCACTTAACAACATTTGCAGCTTATCATTTTTGTAAAAATACAAGGTTTTCTCCCCCACCCCCTTTTCTTCCAGCCCACTTTAATGCATGCTACATAGCAGTCGAGTCAACAATTTCTCTCAGTAACATGAGCAGAGCTTGCCTCAAAGGATCTTTACAATAAGGAGATGGCTCCTCTGTTGATGAGGACTCCAAAAAGTTGCTTTTTTTTCCTGCTGGCGTGTTAAAAAACCTGACTTTCAGACTCCGAAGGATTTTGTTGCTGCTATTTGTCCTGATGGATATACCCGATCACAGTGGTAATAATCCAAAAGGGAAGACCAATGGCAAAAGACTAACAGTTACATGCTTGAGCTTAGATTCAAAGGTAACAAAGCAGCATCTGCTGCAGCAGGTCAGTCACCTGGCTTAGCAGTCCTAATTCAACTGATTAGGAGGTGGCTATGATGGTTACTATTGGGTTTTGAGAGAACACTCAACAAAATCATGTCTTTCTCCAACACGCACCAGATGAGCGCGCTATCCCTCCCCTGCCTGCAAGTGGATACAGACAAAATTTAAGTGCTTTACATCACATCCTAATTCCTTATACCGAAAAAGGGATTAGGCATTGTCTGCCCATTTCCTTGCGACTCCAGCAAGTACACTGGAATACATTTGATTGGAAGTTGCACCTTTTGATGATCCGTCCCCAGCTTTCTCACCCTTGTGCAACAGGAGAGCCACAAAAGTATCAGTGAACTCCCACATTCTTGCATCTCAGGGATACAGCATGTTGGCGGGAAGGGGTAACCTACTCATCTGGGTTGATGCAGGAAACCATGGAGTCAGATGGGAAATTAGTCAGATGGAAATCACACCCGAGCTGCAAAATCTGGGTCCCCAAAATTCCAGGGCGTACAGATCCAGTGTAGAAATGGCACCATTTGGGAAATCAGGATTCTGGTCTGAATTTTGCATAGATTCAGGCCCAGCTCTGACACCAGCTATTCACTAGAAGCCAGTGGGGTCTGATAAAGAAAAGATTAACACTACAGTACAGATACAAGTAAAAGAATGGAAACCTCCTTCTTTATCAACAATGCTCCCGTGACCATCAAGGCTACCAGTCCAAAAACTCTATTCCCCTTAGTACTGAGGCTTTTGCCCTGCGTTGGTGTGAGTTTACATGCAGATTTAGAAATGGTTACTTAGAAATTAAACCAGCCTGAAAGTAAAACACTTAGATGTCAAGTACTACTTATAACAGAAGATGGCAGAAAATCATCATATTCATCACAACAATGAACAGTAAATCAAGTACGTAACCAGTAATAGTAGTCATACAGAAAGTTTTGCAATAGTGCCCTCTACGGGTCGCATTTAGTATTTTTAGTAATATTGCATATTTTGTATAATATAGTAAAAATGCTTTTCTGTCCTTTTTGAACTATACTGAAATTTCTGAACAACACAAAGATGTGACTGTGCTTCAAAGTGTTTTTAATTACTTCAAAACATATTGTTATCTGGTAGTTAAAGCTACATCCTCAAATCTCATTCTCAATATAAACAATGCTCACTTTCCATAGCAATGGACTTTGTGTTACATAGGGTGCAAAGGTGAAAAACAACAACTATACTCTGGTTCTCGCTTTTAATTGTGAAGTTTTAGCATTTTCTACCTTTGCTTTTATGTCTAGAGGTTTCTCAAAAAATCTCACCAAAGCTGGTTCATTTAACAAGGATGCCAGGATCTGCTCAAAGGCAAAAGACCATTCATGGTCGTCTCTGCGAGGGCTTTGCACATTCCTGCGCTCAGTCTGTTGGGGTGCACTGTCTTTCTTCGGAGCGTTCTGGCTGTCCGTGCTGGATTCTGCTGCAGAAGCTGGGCTTTTGGCTGGTGAAGTGGGGCTTTGTAGTCTTCTCCCAACTTCTTCCATCTTCAGCAAGAGGCTGGTGACAGTCGCTATAGCCCAATATAACAACTCCTCTTCAGGGTCCCCATGGAACAGGTTGTATAAAGTCTTTGAGAACTGGATGAACTGGAACTAGGGAGAGTTAAGGAGGAGACTATTCAGAGAACATCAACTCAAAGCCCTAGCAACAGGCTTTTCTTTCTAGCTAGTATTCTTTATTTCC